GGGGAGTAGGGCGTGGGCGGGGGAGTAGGATGGGGTGGGTGCTTGCATGCGTTGTGCTGTAGACTGGCATGCATTAGTGTGGAACTTGGGGAAGCGCTGTGCGGAATTGTGCAAGCCCATTTTATAGCGATAAGAGATTTCACACTAGCTCCATGATTCCTAGGTCTCCAGGAACAGGAGCTTGGGCCTGGATTTGCAAAGCTTGTGGGCTGCGTAAATGCACTATGTAAAAATGGAGCACCCTCCTTGAGAAAGTTCACTATTAATTTTTAGTAATGAATCCACATCAAAGTGCAAGGGTAGAAACACGCACAATGCTTAGAGCATCTGAGATTGCTTTTCTTTGTTTTGCAAGGGGGTGAATTTGTGGACGCTGGGCTCCTGCGCGTTGCCAGGCTCCAGCCCCCCGACAGCGCCCGGTGGGAGTGAATCCTGCTGTCTGGGTTCCTTCTCGCTCTGGTGGCTGTCCTGATCGTCGCCACCGCTGCCGCTGCTGCCCTCGCGGTTTTCTTTCCATAGGCGGCCAGGAGCTCCTGCGCCGCCGCCGCCGCCGCCATCTTTTTCTTCTCCGCCTTGGGCTCCTGCCAACTTTGACTCTTCTCCTGCTGCTGCTGTGCCTTGCCCAGGCTCAGACTGTGCATCCTCTTCCTCCTCTTTGAACTCTTCAGTAGGCGACAGCACCGCAGCATTCATATCTGGAAAAGCAGAAACCCCAAGAGAAAGATCAAGGCCTTGGTCCTGAGGGTGTTGGAAGGAGGCGGTGAGGGGCTGCACTCAGAGCAGTGGTAGTGCGGGGGCATCATCCAGTCGACTTGCCTCTCCCAGGGAACCTCGGTTTCCTGAGTTCGCAAAAGCATGAGTCCTATTCAGGTACTGACCCTGTAGTTCCTTCTCATAGTCGACTCCAAGGCTGAGCAAGCTGGTGATATCCTGGCTAGACTGGTCCAGAGGCTCCATACCCTGAGTGGTATGGATGGAGCTGTGTGCTTCTGCAGATTCTAAGCTGGGGCCACCACGATCTCCTAGGCAGTGCTAGAACTGTGAGTCGCAGCCTGGAAGGTTCTTCTGGCGTCTAGACTCAGTTCTCAGCAACAGGTATCCACTTGGACCTCCTCTCTTTGGTCCTTTCTGGTTTTCCGCTCTTTTGCTCTGGGTGGCTGCTGAGGGCGCATGCGTCGGGCTTGGCGCTATGCCGCTGGGTGGGGAGAGCCGACGTGTGTGGCGCGCCGGCGGGGTGGGGTAGGTGACGGTGTTTCGTTCCCGGTGGCTAGCCAAACGGCGGGGGAGGGAGGGGATGGGGGAGGAGTCAAGCGAGTGGGAGTAGGGGTGCGGGGGAGGGGAGTAGAGGCGGGGGTCTGCAGCGGGTGGGGAGTGTGTGTGTTGGGAGCTATGGCGAGTGGGCGGTGTTAGGTTCAGGGAGAGTGAGGAGGGGGAGTTACTTGCGTTGATGCCGTCAGGCTTGTGAGACTGCGAGGCATTCGTTGTGAGGGGGGGAAGGCGGCTGGGCGAGGTGAATGGGGCTCAAAGCCCTATTATAATTAGCGATAAGAAGATTTCAACCCACTGGCTCCCATCGAGTTCATATGGGAGGGTCTTCCCAAGAGGAAGCAGGGGGGAGGCTGGCGCCGTGATGCAAAGCTATGTGGGCTAGCGTAAATTGCGCAGCTAATGAAAATATGGTAGCACCCGTCCTTGAAGGAAAAGGTTTTCCACTAGTTAATTTGCTTAGGGAGTATGATATCCTACTGTTTCAAAGGGGTGGGGCAAAGGGGGGTGTAAGAAA